TCTGCTAGAGTAAAGAGCTTTTCCTCTAAAACCTTGAGCTGCTCTAGAATTGCCTGCCTCTCCTCTTCAAACCCGGCCAATGAGTCTTGTAAACATAGGACTGCATCGGTTGGTGTATCTTGGTGCCCATTTTCTGCTTGATAGTGAGGACTAATTCCAACATCTTCTTCTTGATCCTTCACCTCGTGATTGTAATCTATCGATTGCCCATCACTCTCCTCTCCATAACTGCAAGAAGCAGAGGAATTCCTGCTTCTCCTTCTACACATTATCCTCATCCTCTCCTTTTCTTCATATTCCATCACCTTCTTTCTATACACTTCAAGCTCCTTCTCGAGCTCTTGCTTCTCTTTCTCTCTCTTCACCACTAGTTCATTCATCATCTGCAGTGCTTCCTGGTCATACTCTGATTGCTCTTCCATCATTCTTTGATACTGTGAGGCTTCCAACTGCATTGTTGCTTTCTCTTCTTGGAGCCTAGTTATCATAGCCATTGTTTGATTTGCCGCAATTGCTGAGGCATTCCTCTCTTCCTCTAGCTCTTTGTATAACGCTCTCAAAGTTTTCCTCTCAGTGAGTAGGTCCACTTTGAGCTTCTCCATTGTTTCTCCATGCTCACTAATTGTACTCATCCCATCAAGTGATTCCTCTGTTGCTGATTCCCTTCTCCCTAGCAGCAATAATTTCTTATGTAGGCTTTCAGAAGATGTTGGTGTATCAGGAACTTTGTCTTCCTCAACTTCATCATGTGACATGCTCACATTGGCATTAAGACTTCTTTCACAAATTTCATCATCTGAATTTAGAATTACAGAATCAGATATAGGCCCAAAAAAAGAACATAACATGAAATAACCAATAATCAGGGGTGTTTGAATATTACCATGACATACTACATTGTCAGTAAGTGTGTGAGTTTCTTGTTTGCTGGCTGTAGGGGGTTCATCCACTTGAACCAAGAGCTCATCTGTTGAATTCTGATTTGTTTCAGTTTCGATTTCATAACTCCTGAAAAGCGATGCAAGATTCGCCTCATACTCTTGGAACAATAGCTTCTCTGTTGGATTCTGATTCTTTTCCTCAATATCAGTTTCATCAGTCATCAAATAAGATGCATTATCCTCCTTAGAATCTGGTCATAGGGGTTAAATTATTTAGTTTGACTCAGTAGTATAATAACTAATTAATTCAAAAATTAAAAGAAAAAAGATTATAGAAATTGGAACAAGCCTGTCAGTACCTGAAGAAGTAGAAGGTGTCTCTAAACTCACAGCTGTTACTTGGCTATCAGCTTGTACAGCTTGATTGTTTCTCTCCTGCACATCCAAAATGGGTGTACTCTCAATAGTTGCAGTCTCCTCTTTTTCTTCTGAAAGAAATGAAATTTCTATTTCTCTTTCCTTTTCCTGCTTTGGAACTGATTGTGAAAGTTGTGAATCCTCTTCCTCCTCATTTTCGCGAACTTGCAACTTCTCTGCCACGCTCTCCTCTTCATCTGTAGGTGAATTTTCACTTATGATCTCATCTCCTTCATAAGCCACCGGAGAAATTTCTGAATTTTTCATATTTTCCTCACTTTCGGGAATTGGTGAGTTCTCATATTCAGAACCAGCAACAAGTTCATTTTCCTTAAAAACCAACTCAAATTTGTCTGAATCCTGCATCTTGTCCACGGCAGGACTTTGTAAATTTCCATACTCGAAACCAGAAAGAAGATCATTTCCTTCAAAAACCTGCTCAAATTTGTCTGAACCCTTCATCTGTTCTTCATCTTTAGGAAGATTTAATATCTCAGTCTCAATACCTGCAGTAACAAGCTCATTACCCTCAAAAACCAGCTCAAATTTGTCCGAACTCTCCATCTTCTCCTCTTCTTTGTGAATTTGTACCTTCTCAATCACAAGTTCCTCTTCTTCCTGTATACTAGGCAAATCCTTAGCAGTATTAGTAACCTCACACCCAGGAAGAACAAGTTCGTCTCCCTCGAAAACAAGCTCAAATTCCCTGGAAAATCCTGATGAAGTTTCTTTCCTTCCCTCAAAATTTCTGCTGATTTCTGCACTTTTACTCTCCACCTTGATAGAATCATCATTAATAAACTCAACTGGGATTAATCGATAATCATCATGATCAATATAAAAATCTAGATGCTGTGGAAGCATATCAGGACACAAATTTTGAGTTGTAACTCTAACAATCTCCTCAATTTCACCCTTATTTCCATTAGTATTATTAAGGAGAGGTTCCTTCTCTGCTTCGAAAACTACTTCGTTCTCCTCTTTATCCTCTTCATCACCATCATCCAGTATTTGATACCCAAACTTGGCTTGATCATCTGACTGATCAGAACCTATCTGCACATTTTGATCTGATAAAAAATCACCCAATAATTCTCTGTCTTTAATCACAAAATCCGAGGACGAAACTTTACTAATTGGATTGACCTTGATCAATACTCTTTCACAACAAGAACACTTCTTTGTAGCATCATCATCTTCATCTTTAACTATACCAATCTCTGCCATCCATTTGCTGACTTCAGGATCATCTGATGGAGCAGCAGAGCAGCTTTCACACAAATCATGTAATTCAACGAGCTTTCGATGATGGGAGCAATACCCAATCTTTGATATCTCAGCAGCATGTTGTTCACAAATGATTTCCGAGTAGGGTGAAAACTTTGTCTTCTTGTTTTTGTCATTCTTGTGAGAGTCTAAGAAATGATCAATCCTTGAACATAGGAAACAAGGAGGTTTAAGGCCAAAATATAGCGCGAATTTAAGGATGAAGTAGGAAAAGAGAGAGTTAATTAGAAGGAGAAAGATTAGAGTCCATTCAAGAAAGGCATAGATTAGAACACGAGTTATTCTGTTTGTTCTTCTATGTAACATGGATGAAAATTTGTTGGGTGGTGCCATAGATAATTAGTATGTAGTTGAATTCCTTTGAAATAATATGTACAGTAGGAACTCGAACGCGATTATGATAATGATGATAGATAAATAGATGGATAGTTGTTGAGGAAGGAGAGAGAAAATAGGGTGAGAAGAAGATGAAATGGTGGAGGAAGATTATTACAGAGTAGTAGTTTGAATATTGAGGGAGCCAAAAGCAAGAAAAAGAAGCAAGGGTCCCAAAAATAAAGGGAAATTTGTCCCTTGATTTGCAGAAATACCAAAAAAAGGATCTCAGTAAATTGAGCATGCAATGGAATTGGCTATTAAAAAAAAATGATTTTTTTTAAAGAAAGCATCTGATTTTTTTGACCAAGTGAAGCAAGCATTACTGATTTTTCTATGTTAATATTTGATAAAAAAAAAGAAGTGTTTTAACACATAAAATTATACGGAGTAATACTGTAACAAGTCTCATACGTAGTACTATGGATCACTTGAGCACGATAAATTATTATGGTAAAACAAATCGCAAATCATTGTTATTTTAGAAAATTTCATACATGATTATTTCTTCAAGGGAGGGAGTATTATTTACAAATAAATATTATTAGTGACGGGAATGCTTGTGATACAAGGTAGTAGATCATGAGATCATCACAAATAATCCAGAAGCTTACAGTAAGCAGCAGTATTATCCTTGCATTTGATGTCATGCTTAAAAAATCTTAATATATAATTATATGGTATGAATTTATATTATTCTTAAGTGCTAGTAGAAGAATACTTGAAATTAAGAAAATAATTAGGTCGGTGATGAAAGAGAATATAGTTAATAGAGAGAATTGGTCAACTTTTGGCAATTTATGAACGCTCCACACTTAATAAAATTTTGTTGTTAGGCAGCTAATTTGAAGTGGCCTACCAACTTGAGAAATGAGCTGGTGGACCATAAATATTTATACATTATTATTATGATTATTAATTATAAGTATAAAGCAGCTAATTAAGGGGCCCATTTGAGATGCTTTAGATGTTGGGTCTCATCATGTGTTTTTTCAATCAGGCCCCTTATTATTCATCCCAATTTGTCTGCTTTTCATATCTTTTATTTTTATAAATTTATAAAAACTACCTCCATTTTTGAAAATAATTATGTTTTTTTTTTTTTTTTTTTTTTTTTTGGTTTTTGGTAATATTAATACAGCGAGTGTAAATGTATAACCATGATATTTGTTGAATTACATTAAGTTTAAAATGTCAAGATATTATTTCTCAAATTCTATTGTCTGTATATTTATTTATTTATAATATTTGTGTTCATTGTTTATACTATTATTCTGTTAAGAATGATTTATTGGGATGGGGGTGGCTTTATTTTTAGCCAAAATTGAATAATTTTGCCCATCTATGAAATATAGTTATCGTAATGTGTGATGATTTGATATAAAGCAAATCTATTTTGTTTATTGTGTATAAATTAGATGACATACAACCCCCAACCCTCCCAACTCCAATCCAAAAAAATAACCCAAATTGGACCACAACTAGCTAATTATACTTATTATGGGTGTCACTAACTTCATTTAGGTCACACCATTACGACATACAACGGTATCAATAGAGCGTTCTAGAGTTTTTTAGGAGAATATGAATCATATGCTATGCAACAACGATAGTCGATAAATCCTTAGTCTCAAATATTCCAAAATGGTTTGGGGTCGGCTAACTTGAATCATCGAAAGAAACTATATTCTAAATTTCGCTTCATTGGAATCATTGCATTTGTGTCTATGGATCTTCAAGCCTTTCATAGTCAGCAGCAATAGCAGTGATGGAGGAATAGAGGGCACTGCTATTGAATGTTATTTCCTCAACTAATGTGCTATAAATTCAACAACTTTATGAATATTATGTCTTTTCATGCTCTTATTTTGGCTATCAACTTTATTTGTTTGAGAATTTTAGCACTTTCATCTACACATAGAATGATATACTTCGTATTAAACATTCCAAGTTTCCTACCTAAAATCTTAAAATTGATCTTGAATAAATAATACCATGCGGAGTATTATACTTCGTATATAATTTAGGGTCGGAGGGAGTATGTCATTGGTTGATACTTGTTCCTCAATTTGATGATGAATTCTACATAAATGAAACTGAGAATGACCCAAGCCCAATTATAATTAGTGAGAAATACCTGAATTTGTTATCATCTTAGTTTTTCAATCTATTGAATTTGGGACTTGTTTTTAAGGCCCATGGACCGCTCAATGGGCTGGCTAATCACTTAATCAATTGATTGGTGTCATTAACTCACCATCTTTCTCTTTCTTTAATTCTTGCCCCTCTTCTCTCTGCAAAACCAATTAATGCAAAATATCTCTTTAATTTTCCCGCAATTTTTCTGGATTATCAATCATAGTTAATACCCCAGCAGCAGAACAAAACCCCCCATTAATGGAAATTTTCCAGAAGGTATGATTTTGTAGTTTGAATAATGATTCCTTGTTATTTTTCAGCACTCATTTGGACCCTTTATTCCCTCTAATTTTAGCTTCTGAATTGATTGTTGTCTGCTTTTTTTTCCCCATAATTCTTTATAACTTGGAGCTCATGAACAAAAACCTGGAAATTCAGCATATTCAGTTGGAAAGGAAATTCTTAAATGTTAGCATGGTTCCTCTAGGAATTTGCATATATATCACAATTGCTGTCTAATTAGAAGAAAAAAGAAATATAGAAAAGGTTTACTAGGGTTTTAGTATTTGCAATTGTGGTTACATAATTAAGTTTACTGGGGTCAGTGGGTTAGTTCATAGTTTTTATAATTTTCAGCTCATTGCCAGTTTTTTTTTTTTTCCTCCTATTTGAAAGTTTAGGCATAAAACGTTTAATTGATTGTTTGAGTGTGTCATTGAGATCTGAATATTAAGAATTTGGATTATTTAGGAGTATATAAGTAAATAAATCAATCAGCTTGCCAATATAAATATTTGTGGTTAATAGGTCAGGTTGGTCTCTGACATAGTGAAATGTATGTTACTTATCACTGCTTCTTGTGCAGAATCCCTTTTTTGGGTATGATTTTATGAGCTTAAGTATTAAACCATTTCTGCAGATAGCTGTCTGAAGCTGAATGTAGGACTTGTATCAATGGATTGGTTTTATTTGTCGCTTGGAGTTATTAGAGATCACAATAGTTTGTGAGATAGAAACATAATATTAGCAAGTTGAATAGTTAATCTAATTAATTAACTAGAGGGCTTTTAATGATGCTATAGGTTAATGGTAATTTATAGTGATCTTAATTTATATTATCTGCATCACATTCAATTCAATGTCTGATTCTAGCTTTGAAATTCATGATAGTGGATACTGCTTACTGCTTCACGATTTAAATTAGGGATGTAGGTGACGAAGTTAGACTGTCTGCCCATTGCCAAACGAGGTTTGTTGGTTCTGTTCTGGCTTATTGGCCTCGATTTTGGACATTGTACTGAGAAAATTCCTAATAAGTTGAACTTGTTGAATCACTACTCTTGTTAAAAGTAGGGGATATGTTCTTAAATGCTGAATAAGGGTATTTAACTAATTCTGGGTATTGCACATGCAAAGCTAGGATATACTTAGCAAGCAGGAGCCAAAACTAAGAGTGAGATCTTCTGTGATTGTGCAGTAAAATAAAAAAATCTCCTTAACATCTTATTGCCAAGATATAATTAACATCGCAAGGGCTAGCTGCGTCATGAGTACAAAGGATCCTTATATCATATTCCTTTATGGATAACTGGTGTGACAAATTTAATACAGGAGTCTGGAACTAATTGAGTGT